GAGAGAGAGAGAGAGAGAGAGGGATGGGGCGAGAGTGGGGAATCTATTTATAAAGAGCGGGGATGTTCCACGCGACGCCCACGCCCGTGTCGCGGACGCGTGTACGACGATAATTTATTAAAAATAATCGCGGCAGAAAGACCGGCGCTCGTCGGCGACCCCCGCGGTGAGATCGCTCCACCTCGCCCGGCCCGCTCTCTTTCACCGTTGTCTCCGCTCCGTTGATTGCAGAGCAGGTGCAGACATGTCTTTCCGCGTGGTGCGCACCAGCAAGTTCCGCCACGTGTACGGAACTCCGCTGAAGCGCGAGCAATGCTACGACAACATCAGGGTGTCCAAGTCGTCGTGGGACTCGACGTTCTGCGCCGTGAATCCCAAGTTTCTCGCCATCATCGTGGAATCGGCAGGCGGCGGTGCCTTCATCGTCCTACCGCACAACAAGGTAGGCTTTCTTTATTTTTTTTTTTTTGTTTTGTTTTGTTTCTCTTCCCTCAGGTCTGTTTTTATATGTGCTTTATACGTACGTTTGGTATTCGACAAAAGTGAGAAAGTCCTAGTGCAGTCCACAGACTACGTGTAAAAAAAAACAGACCTCTTTACATTTCTGCCTGCCCCAATTTCGTCGCCGAGTTTCTCCCCTTTCATTGGCTAACACAGCCGGAGTGGTGTGTCGTATATATGTATTATTATAGTGACAACAGCAGTAATGGCATAGCTTTCCAAATGACAGTTTGCAATATCCGTTTCAAGTTCCTTGACCACACCATAATTGGTAGCTGATCTTTGTCGTTGAAACGTTTGTAGGTAGGAAGAATACCGGCGGACTATCCTTTAGTAGGTGGACACAAGGGACCTGTACTGGACATCGCTTGGTGCCCTCATAATGATAATGTCATAGCCTCCGGTTCTGAGGACTGTGTTGTCAAAGTATGGCAGATACCCGACGGAGGCATTTCTAGGACGTTGACCGAGTCGATAGTAGATCTGCAATTGCACCAACGCAGAGTTGGTCTAGTGCTATGGCATCCCACCGCGTTAAATGTGCTGCTCACGGCTGGTTCAGACAATCTTGTTCTCATTTGGAACGTCGGGACAGGAGAAGCCCTGATGCGCATCGACTGCCATCCAGACGTGGTTTATTCCGCGTGCTGGAACTGGGATGGATCTCGATTAGTCACTACGTGCAAAGATAAAAAAATTAGAATCCTAGATCCAAGGTCGGGTGAAATATTAGAAGAAGCTATAGCACATGAGGGAAGCAAGGCAACGCGTGCCATCTTCCTTAGGTACGTACTCCATGTATTTTATTCTTCAGCATTTTACCGCTTCTTCTTATTGCTATATATTATTCACAT